GAAAAATGTGTTAAGGTACGACAAGATGAAGCTATTTATAAAGTTTTAGTACCACGGGCTATTGCTTAATTTTTTTTTTTTTAAATCTTTTTATTGAGATATAGTAAATTTTACCACACTTAAGGATACGGAGTATTAAAGTTGTAAGGCGTATTCATATCATATTTACAATATATTAAAAAAAAAAATGAAATACATAAAAATAGATATATAAAAGATAATAATGTATATATATATAAAAAAAAATTAAAAATGGAACATAAAAACAATGAAATATAGCTTGTAGGAGAAAAAAGGTGGCCTATATATTGGATACTTTAGTGTATAAAACCTCGTTATTTTCCTTCACATAGGGATTACGTCAAACGGTCATTTTTGTAGACCACCTTTCTGCTCAATTTTTTAATCCAATTATCTTACAATTCAAATGGAATACATATGAGTGTTCACATCATTTTTCAGTAACTTATTAAATCGACAACAATACCCAGATTGAAAATTTCCGAAAATGTTCGTAAATCATTTGGTAATATGTTAATAATTTGGTAAAAAGCGATCTTTCCCGCGACTATGAAACCTACGGCGGCTCTGGTAATGTCGTTTGGAAGTTTAAACCTTTCAATTAAACAATAATATAATTATTTGATTATGCTTTCCATTTAATTTTTTTTTATTTCTTAATGATATTTACAATTGTATTAAATAAATACATCTAGTAAATTTGAACATGTGGATATAATGACATGAAAACATTTGCTGAGTAACTACCCAATGGTAACACTCTAATTATATGTCTACATTAGGAGATCACGAGGATATCTTCTTTTCAGACGCCTCGGAGGGTTATCAGGGAAGCAAGGTTAGAAACGAGAGGGTTGGGATGATTCTGAAGTTTATTATGAATGGATAGGTATCTGGATTGGGCCAGAACTGAAACATAAGAAACATTAAGGTCATTGTGGATGGTTTTATTTGTACCAAAGTAGGAAGCATTGAGAATTTTACGAAGGATTTTGGATAGTAAGGATTGGATACGAGAGGAATTCGATGGTTTAGTGGAGCCCCATAGCTCAACTCCGTAAGTCCAAATAGGTCTTATTATTGTCATGTATATGAGTCTTTTGTAATTAATTGGAAGTTTAGAGCGTTTGTCCAGTAAGTACTAAAGTAATCTGAAACGTCGAGCGGTTTCTTGTCGTTTCAGTCAAGTCCATTTAATTTAAAATAAAAAGTCTTCTAATTAAATCGTCATACCTTTCTCACCGTTTTTATTGGGTACATAAGAAAATATGCATTCACTAAAATTATAATTCTATTTAAAGCTAATTACGATAATCAAATAATAAAATATAAATAAATACAGCTGTTTTATTTTCAGTGCCGTTCTTGTCAGACTAGAAATATTTCATGACACTTATTTTATTATAATTAAATAAATAATTGAAATATCCAATCGGAAAAGGAAACGACTAGTGTCGAACAAAATAAATATACTAAATTAAAAGGCTATGAAAAACATATGGTGATTAATTGTTTTAAATAATGTTTCTTACCTTATATAACTTTCACTTTTACTTCTCTTTGCCTTGAAATACTTTTTTCTGATAAAAAGAGAATGGTAAGTGAAAGTTGTGTGATACGCTTTTTATTGTTACTTTAGTGTGTTTTCCTTTTCTGTTTATTTTTGTTGTTTATTTTTTTTTTTTACAATTATTAGTTTAGTTGTATATATATATATATATATATATATATATATATATATATATATATATATGAATATATATATATGATATGAATGCAAGGTAGAGCCATAATGCTAATTGACATTGATTGTGTGAGATTATATTAGCTTTTCTTTGAATACAAATAATTCTTATTAGATCCTTTTTTTTGGATTTCTTCATTTTTCCTGCCATTACTTTCAATTATGGATCCCAAATAACATAATTGTTTGGTTGTATAATGTTGGGTCGGTGCTATCTTTTTTTAATTTTAAAAGATAAAAAGTAGTTTAACTTAAAAAAAAAAAAAAAAACGTGAACAGCTGATCTCTGCCATTAAGCTTTTTACAAATATGAAGAAGGGATTGAATTCTTTCATTGATGCTGTTCCCTCTATCAGCAATAACTCTTAAATTTGCCTCCAGCTGAGTAAGGAAGAGAATGGGATATAAAGAAGAAAAGAATTATTAATATTAAATTATTATTTAGTAGATTTATTATTAGACGCTTAGCGGCGAACCAACCCCCATTTTACAAATTATACAACTGTTCATTTAATTGTACTACTCCTTGCTCAAATCTTATAGCTTTAATTTATATTCATTATGTAGTTCAGATTGTATTATTTTTTATCAACATAACATAAACTGGACGAAACCAAAGTTCAGATAAATTTTTAATTTATTTAAAACTATTTTAACATCGCGCCATATTGCCAATTTGTAAGCATAAAATATATTCACCTTCTCCAGCTTCATATTTTTTAATTTAACTTTATTTATTGAATAATATTACAATCAGCCACTGTTGGAGGGCTATATCTATTAATTATAAAAGTTCTCATTCATACAATATATACAGATAATAGAGACATAACTATAAATATAAAAAGTAAATAAATAATACTGATAAAAATTTTTAATAAAAAAGAAAAATAGACAAATAAAATAAAATAAAAACTTCTAAACACAATCATACCTATACGCAATATATACATTCGCCCAGAAATCTCCGAGCCTGGCTTTTCTCCCCACACGTGGAAGGCAAAGAAATACTCCAGGAGATCCCATTGCCACTTTTTCAGCCGCACCACTAGTATTAGAAGCTAGCGGAGACTGAAAGAGGGCACTAGAGCCACAGAAGCTCAGGACATGAGTGAAGAAGCTGGTCATTTCCAGGACTCCAAAGGTATATTTACAAAAGATCTCGAGACCACTGCCGTTTCAACCTTCGAGGGGGATGGTATGGATGTTCGGAGCTGGATAGGGATTGCGCTAGAGGATTGGGTTGATGAATAAGGTTCTGGTGAAAGTTGGAGGATCTGGATGGTATGATGTCAAGGACATATGGGATGTTAAGGTCATGGTGTAGGGTCTTGTTCGTGACATAATATGGAGCATTGACTATTGTTCGAAGGACTGGAAGGATTGGATACGTTTGATATTCAACGATTTAGTTGTCCCCTCAAGTCCGTAGGTCCAGATGGGTTTTAGTATGGTCTAGTAGATTAATAATTTGTTTTCTGTTGAGAGATGAGATGTTCTGTTAGTAGTCTATACAGCTGACCAAATCGTCGGTTAAGGTTCATATTAACCCTATAATAATTTCAGCCTTTTCTTTCTAATATTTTCATTATACGTTATACTATGTTTTTTTTCTATTTCATAATAATGATAATTATATCATGATATAATATAATAATTAATATATTTTATTCAAGAGAAAACAATTTTTTAGCCTACAATCTTTATTTTGTTAGGACAGTAGAAGCTAACAGGAGCTCAAGACATGTAATTAAATAAACAGCTGTACAATTTGTAAAGTAACTTCCACAGAAGAACAGCTCTATTTGAGCTCCTATTATCTCCTACTCTCCTAATACTAAAATAAAATAAAATAAAATATGAAAGTCACTAAAAACATTTTTATATAATAGAGAGATTAAAGAAAAAAAAGAAGAGAAAATTAATAAAAGTTGGGCGCCACCTCAATAATGTGTAGGTTCCTTAATCGGCAATAAATATGCTTCAGGAAAGAAACACTCCAATTAAATTCTTATTTAATAAAACACATCATTTAAATTATTCCCTGATATGATTATTCCGATTAATATTCAAAACAGATCCCCTACAGGCGCATTGAAATGCCCTAGCACGATGCTCAAATCTTTTATTTTTTATTTTATTTATATGATATTTACAACTGTATAAAAAAAAATACATCTAGTAAATTCGCACATGGATATAATGACATGAAACACATGTTGAGACACTACCCATTGGTAGCACTCTAATAATATGTCTATATCAGGAGATCACGTGGCCATCTTCTTTTCAGACGCCTCGGAGGGTTATCAGGAAGCAAGGTTAGAAACTAGAGGGTTGGGATGATTCTGAAGTTTATTATGGAAGAATAGGAATCTGGATTAGGCCAGATCTGAAACATAAGAAACATTAAGGTCATTATGGATTGTTTTATTTGTAACAAAGTAGGGAGCATTGAGGATTTTACGAAGGATTTTGTATTGTAAGGATTGGATACGAGAGGAATTTGAAAGTCCCATAGCTCAACTCCGTAAGTCCAAATAAGCCTTATTATAGTCATGTAAATGAGTCTTTTGTAATTAATTGAAGGTTAGAGCGTTTGTCTAGTAAGCGTTGAAGTAGTCGGAAACGTCGAGCTGTTTCTTGTCGTTTCAGTCTGGTATGGGGGTTCCAAGTTAGACGTTTGTCCAGGTGGAGTCCTTGGTAACGGATTTGTTCAACAGGAATAAGTGAGGTGTTGTTAAAGGATACTGAAGGACAGGAAGTCATTGATTTACGACAAAGGGTGAAGGTAATTTGATGGGATTTATTGGAATTTATTTTAATTCTCCAGTTCTGACTCCATTCTTCAAGGTTTATGATGTGGGATTGAAGGGTTTGGGATGCAATAGATGGGTCGTTATTAACTGATAGGATACACGTGTCATCGGCATATGTGGTGATGACAGTGTTGGGATGTTAGCTGTATAAACTGTGTAAAGGATAGGACCTAGAATACCACCTTGAGGAACACCTGCAGACTGGGAAGCTCAAATCTTAACTCCGTTTGAGGTCAACGTTGATTGATTCTTTTTCCTCGTCAGAAAATTTGATAAAAAACAACAAATGATAAAAAACGAATGGGAATGCTTAATCCGTTACTATGGAGGAGAAATGTTTTAATGAAAACAAAAAAGGTAATATACAAAGCTTTGGAAGAAAGGTTTAGCTTGGTTCCGAGACATGGCCCCTCAGTATGAACCAGGGAAAAACATTGCTCTTGGTTGAAATGGATATTTGGAGGAGAGCTGATAGGATATCAAGGATCGAAAGGGTAAGAAACTATAAGGGAGAGAATGGAAATACAGCAAAATACCCTAAAGGTGATGGAAGAAACTCAAATGGTATGGCAGCCTTGTGAGACGTATGACCGACGATAGGATACCAAAGATAACTATGGTTTGGGAGGACGAGGGTAGATGAAGGAGAGGGACACCCCCAGTTAGATGGAAGGATAGAGATGTGGAGAGTATGGAGGAGGATGGTGAGGGACCGGCAGATATGCAGAGACTTGCAAAGTAGAAGTTTGGTTGAGAAAAACTTCATATTGAGGAAACTTCTAAATAATAATAAATAATAAAATTTAATTACTATTATGCAATATATCGCAGTCTAGACCCCTTTTTTTTATCAAATTATTAACATCTGCCTAAAACTTTGTGAATAGCTTCATCTTTTTTTAACTGAAGAAATTTTTCATCTACGAAAATTCTTAGAAATGGGCATTTTCTAATTAAATTAATTAATTTAACTATTGTTCGCCCAGGAGTCAAAATTCGACCATTAAAATTTTGAGGAAAGCATAATTCAATTCAATAAATAAAGAGTAAATTACGATTCAAATTTTTTTTTTATTTTGTAAGAAATTTAGGAAGCTTTCAAATAAATGTTGGTATTATCAATAAAAAAATGTGTACATTTTGAGTTATTTGCAAATAAAATACTGAATTCATTATAAAAATTTATGCAGCATGTTTTCGGGAAAGTATGTTATATATATGAATCATAAATATTTCAAGGGGAAGACGTTAGCCAAGTTTCATTAAAATCGTTAAAGCCGTATTGGCGCTACAGTCTAAAGCGATTATCGTTTTTCGGCCGCCATTTTGAAAGGAAAACCCTGATTATAATAAAACGTGCACAAAAAACTTTCGGAACTTTCGGACCGAAAGAATTTTCTGAGATTAGCCGTTTTAAACAAACTACCATTTATATTTTTATTTCATATTTTTATTTATTTATAACACTAAAACTCGTCAATAGCTATTAAACAAAAAAAGGAGGAAGAAAATTCTGTTTGCAAGATTTGCGTTGTTTCTTATGGTTACAGAATTGTGAATATTGAATAGTAATGAAATGAACATAAGCAAGAGGTGCCAATCAATATAAATATAACATCGTTTGATTAGAGGTGTACAATGGTTAGATAAATAATATTTATAATAAAGAATTGTTATGGATTGAAATTGGCACAAGTAAAAAAATGTTTAAAAGAAGGAGATGGTCCGGAGTGGTGTTCATAAATAGGCTAAATAGTGGTAAAGCTATTTTTATTAAAATAACTCCTAGCTGAACACACCTGTAAGTCTCTAATTTTATTCTTCCAATTTTATTTACTTATTTATTTAATTTTTTTTTTCCTTTTTCTTTTTTCTCCACATTCCTTTATGTCTATTATTTCATATTATATCCTTTTTCCTTTTCTTTCAATCTCTCCTGTAGATCTGTAGAAGTATATTCACATTTGCATATATTATATATTACACTACAACCAACATCCGTGCTGGGCTATGCTGATGATCTGGTACTGTTAAGCGAAGACGTTGAAACTATAAAACTAAATACGACAACGTTAATGAAAGCCGGTAAAGAACTAGGACTCGAAATAAACGTGGATAAAACAAAATATATGGTTAGCTGCAAAAATGGCGATACTACTGGTGATATCGATATAGATGGTAATATGTTTGAACAGGTAGATAAATTTAGGTATCTAGGTTCTACGATAACTAGAAAAAACGAAATTGAAGAAGAGATTAAGGTTAGACTGAAGGCGGGGAATGCTTGTTATTTTTCTGTGACAAAACTACTTAGTTCGCGCCTCTTGTCCCGAAACTTAAAAATTAGAATCTATAAAACAATTATCTTGCCTACAGTTCTTTATGGATGCGAAACTTGGCCGCTTACATTAAGGGATGAGCAGCGTCTTAAGGTTTTTGAAAATAAAGTATTGCGTAGAATATTCGGACCGAAGAAGGATGAGTTAACCGGAGAGTTCAGACGGTTACACAACGCCGAATTGCGTGAGCTGTATCCGGGTAATATAATTGAGGTAATTTCATCGCGGCGAATCAAATGGGCTTGTAAAGTTGTTGGGCTTAGTAACGAGAGAATTCCTAAAAGGTTAATATTTGCTGTGCCGAATGGTAAGCGTCCGAGGGGTAGACCGAAGCGAAGGTGGGAAGATTGCATTAAAGCCGATCTGAAGGGACTGGGTTTGGACGGCGAACGGTGGAGGGAGGTGTGTAACAAGCGATTGGTGGTGTCGGCATCGAACCTTCGGGTTCGCTAAGCCTTTTTATTATTATTATTATTTACACTACAACAATTGTTAGCATCTATTCACTACAGTTTAGGATCTTGTTACTTAGCTTACTCTGTTCATATTTTAATGTATTTACTGCTTACAATTTTAATAAGCTTATTCGCATTGTTTATAATTTTTTGTCTAAATATTATATAACTTCTACAATTCTCTATCTTGCCCGTTCTATCCCTGAAGAACACCTGCAAAGTCGGGTCGAAACGTTAGCTTATAATAAAAATAGTTTTACCACTATTTAACCTATTTATGACAGCCACCCCGGACCATCTCCTTCCTTTATGATGCAACGGTCAACTATTAAATATTAAATATAAAAGAATGTTTATAATGATTGCGTCCTGAATATTTATCATCCATTAAACCATTGGGACCATCTATCTACAATCTGTATATTATATTTTACTGATTAATAAGTAAGTAATGTCAAAACGTTGTCTCTTTAAGGCTTCGCTTACAACATTTGTCTAGGACAACTTAGAAATTAAAAAAATATCTTTGAATCGATCTGAAACGTAACGTATTATTGTCGTTCATTCTCTCTAGGTGCCTGTCTATTATATTCTTGTAGATTTCTTTTTTTTTTGTACTAGTATATTCTTGAAGGTCGTTCAATATCAACAAGGACCTGGATAAGTGACGGTTGAGATATCATCAATGACATGTTTGCAGCATTATAAATGTTGCACAGGCTCAAGCACAGCTCACTTGGCCGACGATGGGGGAATCGTTGACATTGAAGTTGCAACGCTTTATTGATTACCTCAACAATGGTTTCGACGAGTCCATCAACGATTATATGGACAGCACTTACCTCTGGTTGACTACAATATCAGCTGTGTTCCCGACTTTAAACCGTGACAGGCCATTTCTGTCCATTTCCAAGCTGTTCCTTTTGATTTTCAACTGCTCCATGATCATGACCATTTGGTATCTGATTTTCACAGGCGCCGTAAAATTCTCTAATTCGAATTTCATCCTCTTGATGAACCAGTTCCATTTTATGGCTTTGGTTCAGATGAGCCTGGAAGTCGTAAGACATTCTTGGATGAACAGACCCGAAGAAGGAGCACTGCACAAGTTGATGGTCGACAACTTCTTCGACTACGAAGAAGAACTGTCAGGAACTTGGACTAGCTTGAGGGAAGTCATGAAGAGACAGAAGCGTCGCTGTATCCAATCCGTCTGCCTCATCGGAGTCGCGGTGACGACCACGGTAATCTTGATACCTACTTTGAACTCTTTGAGTACTGTCGGGTACTCAAACAAGACTCTACACGATGTCTATATGGACTTACCTATACCAGCACCTGATATCCTAACAGAGAACAAATCCCTTTCGCATTTCTTGCTTTATTTGTTCGAAATTCTTGGCGCTTCCTGTGTAGGAATGGTCCTGAGCACTAAATGCATGATGTGTATTGAAAGTAACCTTTATATCCAGATGCATCTCAAGCTGTTGGTGTTTCAATACGAAAATATTGAGACCAGAGCCCTAACGCTGTACAGGCAGATTTACGGGACACATCCGAATTTAACTGGCATAAGACTTTACAGCGATTTAAAATTTTCTTATTGCATTGATGAATGTCTAAAAAAAAATATTCAACACCATCAAGTCATCATTAAGTAAGTAACATTAAAACAAACTCCAAGGCACCTTCATATTGCATTAATTTCTTTTCTACTTTTGGTGTCTTGAAGTTTTTTTATTTGTTACAATAAATTAGGCCATTTTTCACCAACCTTTTATTATTACGCATCAATTTAACGTTTCGACCATACTTAGGGTCATTTTCAAAACTTGATGAGTCCTCCTAATGTGTTCATCCTTAATGTTCTAATTAATAAGTTCAGTGAACATTACTTGTCAATTTTTATAGGTGCTTCGCCTACGTCATTTCAGGAGGGCTGAAGTCCAGAAATGACGTAGGCGAAACATCACAAAAACATCAGGTTCCCGAATTCCCAACGGCAGTTAAATACTCTCAGAAATTCTATATCCAGTGCCGGGGTTTTGTTTTAAGAAGATTAAATTCTCGAGTTTAAATAACTTAGTTTCCCGACAAAGCGGAAGGCTATTCACAATTGCCCCCAACTAGGTTATTTACACCTTGTTGAACGCACCCCCCGCCCCGAAATAAAATATTTTGTTCACTATTTTAGTCTCTTTATGACCGCCACCCCGGACCACCTCCTTCCTATAAAAAGTTGTGGGTTACAATAAGATGAAGTCATTCCCGAAGTTCGAGGCAGAAGTTAATAATTTGTTAAAAAGGGGTCGGTACCGCGGGCTAAAGACAATACAAATAAACTAAAATTATAAATAACAATTATATTCCTTCTCATTTTCTCACTCAATGTCACATAAAGGAGTAAATACTGGAGGTCATCTTCTACTACTAAATGTGTTTCAGTTTTAACTGTTGAACGCACCCCCTGAAGAAGATCTGCAATGTCGGGTCGAAACGTAGGCTTGAAATAGAATAGTTTTTCCACTATTTTAGTCTCTTTATACCCGCCACGCCGGGTGATCTCCTTCCTCTAAAATATACAACGGTCAACCATTATTCAATACAACTTTTTATCAAATTATTATTAAAAATGAAAATTATTATCAATGGGGCGTTTCCTCCCTAAATTAATTGATTTAATTAAGTACTAAAAGCTCATTGACACCGATTTGGTTTTCACCAAAGTCGTAAGATTAGTGTTGCCCAAAGCCTGTCTTGCACTTTCCAAGAACAAGACCAATACCACCTAACTGTTGCAAGACCCAGACCAAGACTGGTAAATAGAAATAGACTATTTGAATAAAAATTAAGGCCAAATAGTTACTAATACAATTTTAGTTACTGTATGTAAAGAATTTATATAACCAATATACTTTTGCTTTTAACTCTTTTAATTTTTCATTCGGTCTTAATTATGTTTCTCCAATATAAAAAATTATAGTAATAAGCTAATAGGTAACTACAAGTCTGTTGCGAGACTTGCGCAAGACTCATCTTGGTCTCGCATTTTTGCAATACTACGTGAGATGATTTGATAACAAGAATCGAGAAAACACTGCCCTATTAAAATATTGAACCTTTGGTTGAAGATCTCGTCAAATGGCACAATATTTTTGTAGTAAACTATTTTTCTCAATTTTGTGTTTATTTTACGATTTTCGAACTATTATATGATTCAAGCGGAAAATTGTTATTAATAAGTTCTTTGATACTAAATAATTATTTATGAAAATTAAATTAGAAACTAATCATTTACTAAATATCAACAGGGCAGTTCGGAAGCTAAATACTGTTTACGGATGTTACGTCTTCAGTTTTTATCTCACAAGTACAGCCGCTATTGCCATGAGTATTCTTTCAACTTCTTCGGTAAGTTTTATAAGGTAGTTTTATATATTAAGTCTTTTTTGTCCAGCATAAGTTATTTTCTTTAATTGTGGTTTGATTTTACAGGATTTAAAATTCACAAAATATAAAATTCACCACAGTCCAAATACACTGACAGGTAAAAAATTCCACCCTCTTGGTACCCATTAAGGAACCACGTTGGAAAGGTTGGCTCTGGGAAAAATTACAGGCTGCATATCTTCCGTTTATTCTTCTCCACACCCTGACACGCCTGTCTGGAGATCGAAGAGCGAATCTTGACTCATCTGTAAAAAGTACAGCACTCCATTCGTCCATAGTCCAATGGCTGTGTTCTCGAACAAAAGCCGACCATGCTACTCTGTGAGTTCTGGTCAAGCCATTAATCCATACTCATTTAATCATCTCCGAGCGGTACGTTCAGAAATTTGCACACCTCGAACTGCTTCGAGCTGATGAATCGCTTGAACAACGGTAAGGTGCCGGTTTCGTAAAATTCTCAAAGTCAAAAACCGGTCATCCCGTGGTTCTGTTACTTTAGGCCGTCCAGAACCGGGCCTTCTATTGTAAGAACCAGTTTCTCGAAAACGCCCGACGGCCTCTCATAAAGTTTCATATGGAACTCCGATGGCATTACCTGTATATCTAATGGAACGTCCATCATCAATAAGTGCCACACCACGCGCAACATCCTCAGCACTAAGAGGCATTTTAAAACTTAATATTGAAAAAATTAAAAGCCGGAGACTAAGAATTGTGCTGCAAGAAACGGCACTGAACTAATGATACTGAATAAACATTTTGAATCCATAGAAAGTAAACATTGGAATCTAGAATCATTTCATTGAATTAAGGATTAAGTGTTATTGTCCTCTATATTAACATTCCTAATTGAAAACAAACATAAAGATTACCTATTTATTCATTAAAAACAATAGACCAATCCAAAGTAGAAATATTTTTAGATGAAAACATGAAAAAATCAAGTGGGTGGAATTTTTTTACTGTTAGTGTATATAAATTTCTCAACAGAAATAAGTTCGAATAAAATTAACTTCAACCTTTACCTCTCAACAAAATTAATAAAGAAAATGCAATAATTTTTCAAATTGCATCAAATAATGAGTACCCCATAGAAATGATTGAAAAAATATTTAGGAAAATAGAATGGGTCTTGGTAACGGACTCAAAGAGTGCAATTCCGGCCATCGAAAAGAGAATACCGACAACCACACCGGCGAGATCTATTAAAAATATCTGGTGGAAACTAACAGAAAAGGGAAAGGAAATAGTATTCATGTGGGTTCCTTCGCACTGCGGAATTGTCCGAAATGAACATTCAGACAAAGCAGCAAATATGGCGAGAAGGCTAGATAGAAATCCAACAGATATAATTAACGAAATCCCGATAGACGATTTTATACAGCATATAAAAAAAATTTGCGGGTAATGTGGCAGAACGTATGGCAACAAAAAGAAACCAAATTAAAAGAATAAAAAGCCACTGTTCCAAATGGAAAACTAGCAACCGACTCTCTAGAAAAGAAGAGACGGCCATTTCAAAAGGAAAAAGAATGGATTTTTTTTGAAAAATTGGAAATTAACAAAAGAATTATAAAAAATGACGTAATATGCCTGAACGTACAAAGTATTCAATTTAAGGACTCTGCACTCATATAATAAGTGGCGTTTAATGAAAACAAGATGTTGGGGTAAGGATAGCCCAGCTTGTTATTAGTTTTATTTTTATTTGTATTCCTTATTTGACAAGCAGGAGAGGAGGAATACCATCAGTTGGGTGATTACCATTCCTATTAAATAATTTATTAAAATTAGATTTTAAATTGTTAAATTTTAAATTAGGTTTTATTATTATTTGCAAAAGTTTTAATTGTTGTAGTTAATTTTATTATTTTATCTAGCCTGATTAAGGTCTGATAAAAGACCGAAACCGGTTGTGCAAAAGTGAAAAAATAAAGTAATATACAGGAAGACAATGTCTTTTTTATATATTTATTTTTTTGAAATATAATAATCTGTTTCGTGGACAAACATATTCTCACCAGTTTTTTTTTAAATTAAAATAAAAAGAAAATAAGTTATTGTATTTTAATTTATTTTGTGTATGTTTCCATAAAATAGTATGGTAACCATTTTAATAACCATTCTTCATAATTATATATGTATATATTTTGAGGCCCGACATGTCCCAGCAATGTTATTGGCCATTTCTGGCACAGATCGCCTCTCATCGTATCTCACATGACGTGAGATGATGAACAAGACAGTATGCCACTGTATAACTGATGGAGGCCTCCCTTCATCCCGCCAGAATTTTTCCGGAAAAAACCAAGGTTGTTACGGGTGATTTTCCACATCTTTATCCTCCAAGCGGACGTACATCAGACAAATGAGGATAGATGGCTGTCGTTCAGGAAGAAAACTATGAAGGCTAAACCAGTGAGAAAACGGCCTAATGGAAGGCCAGGAATTACTTGAGAGGATTACCTCAAAAATATTCTTAAAGTTTTTTTTTTTTTTTTTTAACTTTTATTATGATATTTACAACTGTATTAGTATGAATACATCAAGTAAATTCGCACATGGATATAATGACATGAAACACATGTTGAGACACTACCCATTGGTAGCACTTTAATAATATGTCTACATGAGGAGATCACGAGGCTACCTTCTTTTCAGACGCCTCGGAGGGTTATCAGGAATCGAAGAGGAAGCAAGGTTAGAAACAAGAGGATTCGGATGGTTATGAAGTTTATTATGGAAGGATAGGTATCTGGATTCGACCAAATGGGAAACATATGGAACATTGATGTCTTTATGGATTATTTTATTTGTGACAAAGTAAGGAGCATTGAGGATTTTACGAAGGATTTTGGATTGTAAAGATTGGATACGAGAGGAATTTGATGGTTTAGTGGAGCCCCACAGTTCAACTCCATAAGTCCAAATAGGTCTTATTATAGTCATGTATATGAGTCGTTTGTTATTAATGGGAAGTTTAGAGCGTTTGTCTAGTAAGTGTTGGAGTAAGCGAAAACGTCTAGCAGTTTCTTGTGGTTTCAGTCTGGTATGGGGGTTCGAAGTGAGTCGTTTGTCAAGGTGGAGTCCTAAGTATCGGATTTGTTCGACAGGGATAAGAGGGTTATTGTTGAAGGATACTGTAGGAATTCTTAAAGTTAAAAGAATCGCATGGCCGGAAGAATCCTTAACTCCTTATGCAAGAATCTCTTCACTGAAAGGTACAAGAGGTTTTTGAATAAGAAAGAAAGAAGAAGGACATATAAAATACTTCTAATTTGAAATTAATTTAACTCACTATAATATGTAGCAATTTATTGAATTTAAACGATGAATTTCCTGCATAAAAATGAACTGTTGTGTATTTCAGGTGGAAGAATTTCCTGGAACTGCTTTTGGAGCCATTATAATCTGCATTATTGAAATATTTTTTGTTGCGTTATATTCCCATTTTGGACAATCGCTCACAAATTTGGTAATATTCCTTCTAATAAATAATTAATTTTAAATTATATTACATTATAGAGATAATACCAAAAAACTAAGGCATATGCTTTAGACCACACGTTAGGTATTATAACATCAACAAGGCGTGATTAATAAAATAAAATCTAAATTATAAATGATAGCTCATTATAAACAGGATACAATGCTGAACATTTATTCGCTTACAGTAAGCAAGTCTGCTTTTTAGTTGCTGAAAAGTCTAACTTTTCAGTCTAAAACTTTCAGAACCATAACCAAAGCTCCATGGTACGTCACAAGTATTACATTACATAAAGACCTTCAAATGCCAACAGTTAACTATCACATACGGACACAGTACAAGCGATTCCACAATAACTTACATGTACATACTAACACACTTATACAAAGTATGGCTACATTTAACATGCCCGAAAACACACTTAGGAGGCTCAAAAGGAGCTGGATGAGGGATTCCCTCACTGACAGGCGTGGGTGAATAAATAAAGTTAAAAAAGTTGCTGAGATATTTTAATCCATATCTTCAATAAAACTCGTTATCATTTGGTTTTCGATTCTACTTTTTCATTTTCGCCTCTTTAACACGGGCTACAGTGGGACGAATAAAAGAAAAATCGCAGCATCTATTTGAATCTTTCGGAATTGAATCTTTTTTTTCTTTTGTACTCCAATAACTAGATATTTATTAGATAGATACTGTTTTATTGATAGTGTTTAATCTATTAAGGGAGCGGGGTAGCTCAGTGGGTGTGCACTGATTTCCAGAGCTCAAAGTCCTGGGTTCGAATCCGGCTAATGGCTAGTAATTTTTCATTAGCCGTAGATCGACCCTGGGGTCGGGAGACCCTCCTGAGGCACACCCAGCCTCTATAAAGTGGGTACCCTTAATTTAAGAAATAATTAAGGAGGAAAATCTGGCGGTTGAAACCGTTGGCTTTTTGAACAGTACTGCCTCACATAGTACTGTATCCAAAACCCTTCTCATGGGTTGTAGTGGTACAGGTTTTTTTTTTTAATTTATTAAGGCAAACCCTTTCCCGGGACGACGGTCGGTGCCATGATAATATGCATCATAGAGGTTGATTTCGTCTTCGTTTTTGCACATATGGGTCAAAATTTAACAGATTTTTTTTTTTACAATCACTAGTGTTTAATTTATTAATTTGACTGCTGTGGAATTTATGTAAGGGTATTCCATTATAATTAAAAACTATGGAGTTGAACAGATTGCTATATTTCATTTGTATTATAATGTGAGTTATTAAAGCCGGATCTATTACAATGAAGGGTTCATGTATTAATAAATTTGGTCTACATATTACAAACTATTTTTAATTGAAGTAGATTAGGTGGGTGATGTCTGAAAATGATTGAATTAGGTACTTGCTGCTTCTTGTACTCATTCTTCTCTCCCTCCCGGTCTCTCCCTTGCAAGGAGTCTCTCTCCATGTTTTCTTCTTATAAAGTATCTAGAAGTATGTTTCTTCTTGCTGGCCAGTTATGCTTTAATCTCAAGTGTAGAAGATTCTAGCAGGCACTCAGCATGTCTGTACTGCCTTTTTTTGCTTCTCTTGCTATTTGCTGCTTGGTTCTTCACTATATTCAAATTTAAATAATGTGGGATCTTGGTTGTGTTCCCTTAATAGATACCTTTTGTTGTTCGTGAAGTTTTCGGAAATATTTTCAGCTAGTACAATACACATTTTTCACTGTTTTTATTGAATAGTTCAATTGAAAAAAAAAAATTATTTACCCGATGTCACGAATTTTCCCTTAATCGCCTTACTGTGCGGCGTCGAGTTAAAATGGAATTTTGAACAATAGCTCATTACAGAGAGAATGAAATAATGAACATTTCCCTCTCTGAGAATATGCAGATCCAAGTTTCAGTTTCTGAGATAGTTTAATCCATATGCAAAAATACTTCAATTGACATTACCTGACTTCAGCCGACTTTACCCGAGCGTTGCACACCGGAAATCTGATAGCTCGATCTAATTCAATCTCAACAAAAAAAGTGCATAATGTGCCTAAAGAACTTTAACTTCAAAACCTGCAGTCAATTTGTAGTAACCTCTTCTGTAAGTAATGTGCTAAATAGTTTTAAAATCCGATGGCCGTAGTATGAAGAATTCAGCTGTAAATAAATAATCACGGGATGGGATTTCGTAAAAAATACCCAAGAATTTTTTTTTCACGATATTTCTCACTTCTTCTTTGGTGCATACTATTTATTTTCAAGTTTATTTATTATCATCCAAATTTACAGCAATTTTTAAAATTTTGTCAACTTAATAATTGACTACACATCACAATTACGACGTTTCGGCTCGTCGAGCCATTTTCAAGTCTAAAAATATTTTTCAATTTACAATCATATATTAACTTTAACATATTTCAAAATATAAAGATTCTTTCTATATACCTAAATACCAATCATGTACCTGTCTTTTAACTTATGCGAATTGCATGCGTCTACTCATAATAAAATTCCTTATTCCTGTCATGTCCACCTTTAATTATTTTTAAACGTTATTATTACTCAATTCTTTCCTATTAAATGATTCAAATAAGTTAAAATTACCTTGTTCATGTGTCATCCGTCTCCTTTCTATTCAGTGACTGTTTATTGTTATAGGAGTAGGGGAATACTATTCATTATAAACATACACAATGATGTTCCACAATATTATATGTGGACCTATTTTAAGTAATATTAGCTAATTTATTTCAAAGTTTGATTTTTTCAATCGAACTAGCGTAAAATGTATTCATATTATATATTATGTCTGTATGATTATTTACCGATTTTAAAAGTTTTTGGTTATGTATATTGCTTCCTTTATTCTACGTTTATTCGTATTTCTTTCATTATGTAGGATTTTGGCGTTTTTGAAATAAAATTCATGTTTTGTTTGCATAATATGTTGAGAGAGTCCAGTAGCTAATTTAATTTTTGTGTTTTTTTAATTACAATTTTGTCTATGTTGTTTAAGGCTTTTTTCGAACCATTGGGACGTCTGTCCAAAATATGATTTGTTGTTGCAATTTTTACAATTTATTTTATAAATAATATTCGTTAATTTATCTGTGGGTACTTTATCTTTAGTTTTCGAATAAATTGTATCTATTTTATTAATTGGTTTGCTTGCAAATTTAATGTCATTTACATAATATTGTTTGGACGTTCTTTCAATTTTATCCGTTAAATTTCTGATATATGAGACGTTAAAATATTTTTTTAGGTTGTTGTTTGTTTTCATTATATTTTTCATTTTTTGCAATTCATTACTTACCTGAGATGATATGAGAACATATTTGGCCAGATAGCCTATTGTCAATTTTTGTTTTACGTTGAATTGTGTGAATAATGTATACAATTAATATTAGTGAAGGGCGCTAGGGATAGGCAGAGCCCGCACGACCTCTCAGCCTGCCGCGATGAGTATACAGCTTGCCCCTTCATTCCTTTCCCAACCCAGGCGCGCTCCTGACGTCACTCGTGACCTAATTTATGCCCGCCTATCTCTAACATAACCTTTATCTGCGATCACCCTCGCAACAGTCTGTAGCAGATCGACAAGTTTTTAATAAAATATCCAATAATTAATTGAACATAAATATGACCAATTATTTTAAAAATAATAATTTATACATTTTCATTTTTCATTATTGCCATGTTGCAGACGGATGTTTTAATCCATATGAAAAAAACACTTCGAATTGCCGACTTTACCCGAGCGATATACATCTTATATCTGGAAGCTCATTCTAATTGACTCTCCACAAAAAAAAGTACGAAATGCGCCTAAAGAATTTTTCACTTAAAAAAAATCTGGTTATGAAAAGAATCAAATAATTTTCAATTTTTGTTCTAACCAGCGAATTCAAAATCTCATATCGCGAAATTCCGTGCTCTTACATGTATGAATATATTTTTATCCGCTGATATATCAATTATAATCTTTAAAAACAAATATAAGCACAGATCAATATATATATATATATATATATATATATATAGATAGATAGATAGAAAACAACTTTATTCTGGGACAAAGTCCCTTGAGAATAATAATATAGAACAAAATTAAAAGATTACATCTGGCTAAAATAAATTCAATCTAAAAAAAAAATAATGTAAAGAAAATATAAAGTAAACATTCTATATACAAAACAAACGAAACTATATATAAAACAATTAACACAGTGACAAGACACTTAAAGCTATTTGAACTGATAGACCAGTATAGACTTTTAAGAAAACAATAAAGAATTAAAAAATAAAAATATATTAAATTATTTATCAAAATCAGCTTTGTGTTTCTGTTGAGACAACAGAAAGTTGAATCTGATAATACGAAGTGCCTGGTTAATATATAAATACATTACCATTTAGCATTGATATTTTACAATGAATGGCATGAAATAAATGTGTGTTGTCGAATGGTTAGCAACTATCTGACTGTTTTTGGGATAGGAATTGGAACAGGAGGGTTTTGAATGTGGATATAGATGGAGAATGTCGAATTTTGATAGGGAGGGAATTCCAGAAATTGACAGAGCGAGCAATAAAGGAGTTTTAGAATGAGGCAGATCAGTGAGAAGGCATGTAAAGATTAGAAGGTCGAGATCTTGTGGATAGGGAATGGACTGAGGATTTGATATCTATATATATATATATGAAATCGTGTTGATATATATATACTATGGATATATATATATATTTATTTTTTCTGTTGGCATTACAGACCATGTAGATCTTTTGCCGCCTTTATGAGCCTGCTCCATCTCTGCCAGTCTTGGGCTATTTATTTCCATTTATCTGCACTCAGCTCTGTTGCATATTTGTTGATTCTATCTATCCATCTGCTTTTTGGTCTTCAACATGGCCTTTTGCCTTCCATTGAGGCATTCATTGTTAGGTAGAGGCTTCCTGATGGATTTCTACGAGCTACATGCAGTAGAAAGTATCTTAACCTCCGTGCCCTCATATCATGGGATATTGATTGACCAGTTTCTCTAAGAAGTTTCTTTATTTACCTTTCTTCTGCATGTGTTAGTACTCTGATCTCAGATCGTTCCGGTTATCGTGCGAATGATTTTCCTCTCAAATCTTTCAACACTTTTTTTCCAGGGTGCTGGTTGGTGTCCAGGTTTCACAGCCATATATTAGAACTGGCTTTATTATGGCATTTTACAACCTTAGTATGAGATATCTTGAGATTTTTCGGGATTTCAATACCTTTGAGATGGAGAAGAAAGTTCTGTTTGAGCTAGTTATACGCTGGTCTACCCGTTTATCATTCATTGAGGTTATTGTGGAGCTGAGATATTTGAATTTATCTACTCTCGGAAATGATTTTCCTTCTATGAAGGTTCTGTTATTGGGGTGGTCTTTTCGGCTTCATATCATATGTTTTCTTTTATCTTCATTTACTTGTAGACCGATCTGCTCTGCCTCACTTATTAGTGATCGAGTTTCTCAATGTCTTCTCGATTACTTCCAAGGACAGCTATATCATCTGCATATCCAAGGATTTTATGATTCATTCCGACGTGGCCTCCTACATTTTCTGTTGTTGCTCTTATTATCTTCTCCAGGGCTAAGTTGAACAACATCGGTAATAGTCTATCTCCCTGCCGTAAGCCCGTCCGAACTTTGATTGCCTTCAGATAGTTCTCCATATATTAAGACTATACATTTGGGTTCATTTGTGCACGCCTTTGTCAATCTCACCAACTTACCGGGAACTCCCAATTCTGCCATGATTTTACAAATACAGTTACAGTTACTGAATCATAGGCTGCTTTGAAATCGACAAATAGAGCGTGGACGTCATGAACTACTTCCATCGTTTTTCGATTACTCGTTTTAGGATGAAGATCTGGTCTAGCGTGCTCCTCCCTTTTCTGAATCCAGTTTGGCGGTCTCCTATTATATTCTCGTAATACGTATATATCCATTATATATATGCACAGATAAATATATAAAAATAAAATAAATAAATAGGTTTATTGTTGAATATGTATTTTAAATATAGTTAGAACATGGATATATAGACTAATATGACTATAAATTACTACCAATGACACCGTTTATCGATATTTTTTTTTAACTTGATTTTTAAACTCACACCTGTCAGAAGTTCCGACAATCAGCGAGTGTGATGTCAATATGTAGAAGATTGGTCTTGGAATAGGCGTGAGGGAGAGGAGTATCCAGCGGCGTCCTTCCTATCCTGAGATCCCTCATCCAGCTTCTTTTGAACCTCCTTCGGGTGCTATCGGGCATGTTAGTTGTGGCCATGCCTCGAATCAATGAGTTGGTATGTCCCTGTAAGTTATTATGAAATATCTTGTAGTTTGTACGTATGTGGTCGTTAACTGTTGGCATCTGTAAGTCTTTATGTAAAGTAATGTTACTAACGTACAATGGAGCTTTGGTGATTTACGTATGCGAGTCTTTTTGGCTGTCCCATATATCTGCGAAGCGTAGGCCCAAATAGGCTTGAGTAGGTAAGTATATGTATTCAATTTCTGTCTAAGTTTTAAATTCGAATGTCTTGCAAGGAGTGAGTACAATAGTCGTAGTCTTTTGTTTCCCTTTTTGTTTTGTTTTTGATATGTTGGCCCCATGTCATTCTTCTGTCAAAGGTCAGTCCAAGATATTGAACTTTGTCTGTCTGAGGACTTTGGGTATTGTCAAGGTAAATAGCAGGGCAAGTTTCACGTCGAAGGGTAAAAGTGATATGTGATATGTTTATCGATATTAAATTGTCAATTAGAAACGTATTAACAAAACGTTCTTAATTTTTAGGGAGAAGACTTAAGGGAAGAGATATATAACATCAAGTGGTATTATTTAAATAAAAAAACTAAGAATACTATAAAAATAATTCAAATTGTCGCAGCCAAGCAATTGAGTTTTTCTTTCCACAACATACTACTCATAAACTACGATTCCTTTTCAAAGGTTGGTGGAATGAACAATTACAGAATACCATGACCTTATTTTACATAATGCACTGTCTTTCTTGTCTTTTTAGGTCTTGAATTCAGCCTATTCTTACTATAACCTGGTAAATGCCAACGACAGGTGATCTCGAAGAGATTTTATCTTAAGATGTCCTTCTGAGTTGATAGTAGAGAGAATATATGTCATAATCTCATAATATAATACACATAGTACAAACTACTTATCTCTTACTTCATTCTTATCTTATATGTATATTTTATTTATTCAATGATAATACATTCTGCTACATTGAAGGGCGACAAGCATTAATTATACAAGTATTCATACAATGTATACATATACTAAAGAAATATATACAGATGTCGACAGGTGCAGATTAAAATTTAAAGATAACAAAAAAAATATTCATAGATCTGAATTTACCTAACAATCAACCAAATTGTTTAAGTAGATATGGAAGTAAATTAACTTAAGATATTATTAGTCTTTGACTATTTATGTAGTTTTTTTTTTTTTTAACTTTATTTATTGAGAGATATTACAATCTGTCACAAATAAGGAAATTTATAATAGTGTTCAGAAAGGAGATTCAAGCTCTATCAACAATAAATAAAAATAAATTATATAAAAAACAATAATTCTAAAAGTAAATGTATATTAACTAAAACCTGTACCACTACAACCCACAAGGGTTTGGGGTTCAGTACTATTTAGGGAAAGCACTGTTTCTAGGTCAACGGTTGTGCAAGGAGGTGATTTGACCGAGATCACGCTCAACCGCCAGGTTTTTCCCCTTAACTAACTATTTAATGAAGGGTACCCACATTACAGAGGCTGGGTGTGCCCCAGGAGGGTCTACCGACCCAGGGTCGCCACACGCCCAATGAAACGGATAAATAAATTTCTGCCATGAGCCGGGTTTCGAACCTGGGACCTGTAACATTGGAAGCTGAGTACCCTACCACTGAGCTACCCCACTCCCATATTAATTAAACCAAACAAAAATAAACGCTACACGCACGTTTCAATACAATATGTAAAAAAAAAAGTCATACATCAAAGATCTCCGATTCAAGCCTTTCTCCTCACTAGAGGAAGGTAAGGCAGGACTCTAGAAGATCCCAGCACCTCTAACTCAGCCGCATTACTGGTATTAAGGACCAGTAGAGGCTGATCAGAGGCGCAATAATCACACATACATGGTTTGAGTGGAGAATCTGGCCATTGCCAAAACTTCAATGTATACTTATTCACAAAAGGTCTCTGGGCCACTGTCGCTTCAACCTTTGAGAAGGATTACAGGGATGGGTGGTGCTTGATAGGGATTGTGCAAGGGGATCAGGATGATATGTAAGGTTCTGGTGAAACGTGGAGAATTTTTCTGGGATAAGGTCTGAGACAAATGGGATGTTAAGGTCATTGTGCAGGGTTATTTATACAGTAATAATTACTTTTCTCCAAAAATGATAGTATGATATTTAGATTTAGTTTGATTTTCCAATTTTGACAATATTCTTTATTGAATGAAATATGTGACTTCAGGGATTCGGCTGCAACAATTGGGTCATTATTGACAGATAATGTGTTATCTGATAACGTGAGTGGTAGAATAGGTTGGGATTGACTAAAAAGTCGAATCGAACAATCTAAACAAAAACATAAATAATTGTTTGGTAATCACGTCGATACATTCTCGAGAAGTAGTTAATATTGAAATAAAAACCAACGAGGTAGGAAACTATACGAAAGAAGTTAGTCCTTGGGCATATTTAACAAGTTTCATAATTGAGGGGAGCAATTAGCGCTGTTGACACTTTAAATTACTTCGATATTCGATGTATCGAGTGCGAATCGTTAATTTTCAATTCCAGCCCAGAAGTGGGCGAGTCACTGTCTAAGATGAACTTCTTCACCTCAGATGACGATCTAGAAAATGATGAACTAATCGATAAGACGTACAATCGATTGACGACGATCTCGGCGATATACCCGGTCATAGACAAGGACCGGCCCAGGCTGTGTCTCATGAACTTGGCACTCTTTCTGTTCCATTCTTTGATCTTGACCGTGATGACTTCATCCCTGGTTCAGGGCTCCGTAGAGCTCTTCTACATCAACTTCGTACCGTTCGTCAACGAGGTACACATCGCCTTCCTCGGACTCTTGAGCATCGCTATACTCTGGCATTCCTGGTTGAAGAGACCCAATGTCGCTCGACTTCATCGGATCATAGCTCGAGATTTCTTCGACTACAAAGAGGACCTCGAAGACAAGATGAAGACACTTCGTGACGAGATGATGAAGGAGAGGAAGCGGCATATCCTGTACATCATCCTTATCGGATTCGCAGCTTCCGTCGTGGTCATCCTCATCCCTGCTGTGAACCAGTTCGGTACCTTCCAGTACAACTCCACTATCCACAGAGTCAACTTCGACCTTCCGGTACCTTTGCCATATCCGTTCTTGGGAACGAAACCTCTAGAACTATTACCAGGATATATCGTATGCGTTGTGACAGCTTCAAGTATAGCTTTGATGAATTGTACCAAAAGTTTCATGGCGATAAATTGCAATCTACACATACAGATGCAATTGAAACTTCTGCTTTTTCAAATAGAAAACATCGAGTCGAGGGCTGGAAAGTTGTACATGAAGCTCTATGGAATACAACCTAAACTTAATAACGGATTAAAATTGTATGAAACTAGATTTATGAAATGTTACTCTATTTGTCTAAGAAGAAATATCCAGCATCATCAAATCATTATAAGGTAATGTTAGTTTTCAACAGAGAAATTTAATTATGTGAGGAAATGTAAGTTGGACTAAAAAAAGACGCGAAGTAGATAAAAATGAAACATTTTTTATATATTTTGCTATTATTACAATTCTTATCCAATTTTCAGTATTTCACATTTATTAACTAATCACAAATAAACAAAATTTCATACATGTCAAAAACACTTACATACGTAAACTACAGACTTCAATCAAAAACTTTCAGGACTATCACCAAGGCTTCCTGGTACGTCGGTAACATTACTTTACATAAAGATGGTAACATTAAACGACCTAATACGAACATAGAAAAGAATAGAATAGAATAGAAGAATCAACTTTATTCTAAGACAAAGTCCCTTAAGAATAACAATATCGTAAGTAAAAATTAACATAACATCTGGCCAAAATGCATATTACAATAAAAAGTCTGGTGCGCGCAACACACAACTTTCACTTACCGATCTAATTTGAATAGAAATTATTTTCTGGCAATGCTGGGTTATTAAAAAAAATTTTAAAGTGGATTTTAAACGGAGCTAAAGCTTAAAGCTTATAGATAACAAGTACCATTTTGCGACACTTAGTTATTTGTACTCAGGGGACCTCAAAACATGTATTTCCGTTGAAAACTGAGATTCGAAAATGTTCACTATCGCAATACTTACCCTTACTATATATTACATATATACGTAAGTGAATGTAAAAAATAAGTAATAACAGAAATATTAAATAACTATGCAGATATATTAGAGAAATAATATGAGCAATATGGTCACAATACTGCAAAATAGTTGCTACAAACAATAAACTATGGAATACTAAATGAAATTTGAAATGAACGATTAATTACTTTTGTTGTCATGTCATTGAATTAATGAAAACAATAATAATAAAAGAGCTGATAAATATTTACTATAAATGATTATGATTAAGTATTGTAAACATTATACAAATCTTATATAATCTACATCCTAAGATGTAGATTGATTGGAGAAAATAAAAGATGATATAATAACTTACTATACTATAAAAGATTTCACAATAACTTACACGGACGTACAAACTCATTGATTCGAGGCATGGCCACAACTATCATGCCCGATAGCACCCGAACGAGGCTTAAAAGAAGCTGGATGAGGGATCTCCTCCACTGACTATAAATATTAAATTGAAGACAGGAAGTACGCCGCTGGGCCCTCCTCTCCCTCACGCCTATTCCAAGACCTATTAACCACCTAAATCTCGACATCACACTCCTGATTGTTGGAACTTCTGACAGGTGTTAGTTGAAAAATTAAAAAAAAAAAGAAAACCTGTACCACTACAACCCATGAAGGGTCTTTCTTGGGTTCAGTACTATTTAGGGAAAGTGCCGTTACAAGACTAACTGTTGTGCATGGAGGGGATTGCGCCAGAACCACGCTCAACCACCACGTTTTCTCCCTTAATCAATTATTTAATTAAGGGTACCCTCTTTGTAAAGGTTGGGTGTACCTCAGGAGGGTCTCTCTACCCCCCCCCCTCCCCCAGGGTCTCCTCACGGCCAATGAAACAGAATAAATATTCTTTCTTCCATGAGCCGGGATTAGAACCAGGGACCTCAAGTGCCCTACCACTGAGCTACCCCCCTCCCGAGTTGAAAAATTATGTTAATAAAAAAAAAATAATTCGAAAATGTCACCATTGATTTCTAAACAGTTTCGACTGCGTCTTATATTATTTAGTTGGCCCTTTCATTTTAGAATATCGCCTCAGAAGAAACTACTACTCAGAATTTTCGCGCTTTAATTTACAAGGTTACCTAGGACTCCACCTGGACAAACGTCTAACTTGGAATCCTCATACCAGATGAAAACGACAAGAAACAGCTCGACGTTTACGACTACTTCAACACTTACAGACAAAACAAGGTTAGCTTTCAATTAATTACAAAAGGATCATTTACATGACTATAATAAGGCCTATTTGGACTTACGGAGTTGAGCTATGGGGCTCCATCAAACCTTCAAATTCCTCTCTTATCCAATCCTTACAATCCAAAATCCTTCGTAAAATCCTCAATGCTCCTTACTTTGTTACAAATAAAATCATCCGCAATGACCTTAATGTTCCTCATGTATCAGATTTGGCCCAAACCAGATATCTGTCCTTCCATAATAAACTTCATAAATGGTTATAGTTGGGGATGACCCAATCCTCTCGTTTCTAACCTTGCTCCCTCTTCAATTCCCGATAACCCTCCGAGGCGTCTGAAAAGACGGCGGCCACATGATCTCTTAATATAGACATATTATTAGAGTGCTACCAATGGATAATTTCTCAACGTGTGTTTCACGTCATTATATCCATGTGCGAATTTACTAGATGTATTTTTTTTTATACAGTTGTAAATATAATATAAATAAAAAAAATTACAAGGACTATCAGAGGATTTCCTCCTAACAACAGAATGCAAATGCCTTTTCATCATGACGGAGTTCCCACTCGTTTCGCTTGTCAGGTGAGGCAAAATTTTAAGTTTTCCAGATCGTTGGATCGATCGCGATGTTTCACTTACTTGGCCTATGATCTTCAGACCTCGCAGTACTAGATTTTCGTTTGTCCATGGCTGGTTCAAAGATGAAGTATACAAAACACAAGTACACATAAAAGTACACTCGGGATACACTAATTCAACATATTATAAGTTCTGCAGGAGTCATTAAAGGAATATATGAATCAATCAGAAAGGGCAACTGACCCTTCCAAGACGAAGGCGAAAATGTTTAGAAGTAAATGGTTGTATTTTTTAACATTTATTAAAATTAGACTTCGATACATGAAATGCTAATGCACGTATACAACATTGTTTATTTATAATTAGCCAATAAAACTTAAACAAAAGAAAATCGGATAAGATTATATGAGTTGTTTTAATAATTTTCTTGTCTGTGACCCATTCCTGGAGTTCACTAGCGGATCCAGGATTTAGTATTTTTGGAGGGGGGGGGCTTCAGCCCGAAAGATTTTTTTTTAAAAACATATAACGATCATTACGTAAGAAGAAAACAAGGGATCTAAGTATTTAAACAGATTTTAAGTACTACTAAATGTAATTACACGAACAATCATACTTTTAGAGGTAATTATTAAATATTCGTTTCATGAGACATGGTTATATTTTTACAATTTGGGGGAGGAGCTTCAGATCGAAAGCCCCCCCTGTAGATCCGCCAGTGCGGGAGTTTGACCCGTTCTTCCCGACCCACCATATTTATCTGGGTTGTTCAACGGTTTGCCAAATTGAGGTACCTGCAGCTGCATCCCTCTTTCACAGTAATTATCTTCTCTATTTCTAATTCTTGAGAATATAAAAAAAAAGCTGCAAATTATTTCACAAGGGTTTATTATTTTCAAACAATGATACATCTAAAGTAACATTATCTTCCTAATGACAAAGAAAAAGAAATAACAGGTGATTCAAATTATTGGATAAAATATTTTTTTTTTTAGTCATTAGTAATATCCTAAAAAAAATTAGCATTACCTCAGTAACCCATATAAAAATCAAAAACCAAAACAAAGAATACAACCTTTGCCGTATAAAATATAAAAAAACGTCTAGAGGTCATTTATTTGCTCCTAGTTGTCCGATTTTAACGATTTTTTTTTTGTTTTTATAGGAACTTCTGTAAACTTTTAAATAACCATGAATGAATGATGAAACTTTATTCGTTTTTTAGGAAATTTAAATACCTTTGAAACATCGTATCACAATATCGACGAAAAATTGTATACTTTTTGAGTTATTCAAGATTTAATTTGACCATCCCTCGTAACTTTTTTTCCAGCTTCTCTTAATTGAAGTATGTTATACAGATAAATTTAAAGGACATCTAGAAGAAGACATCAGCGAAGTTTCATTGAAATCAGTGTATTCGTTCAGGCGCTACAGTCTATAGCAACGCAGGTTTTTCGGCAGCCATCTTGAAAGAAAAAGGCGAATAGAAATGTTGATGAAGGAGGATTATCATCGGGTGACTTCTAATTTTAAAGGCAAATTTGTAAAAAACCGGTCCAGCAATTTCGGAGAATATGCGCGTACGGCGGACGGACAAAATAATTTTTATACCTTTTTCGAATTCTACGTATCCTGAAATGAAAACCTCAAATTTTGATTGAGGTTAAGTTTTTGAATTTTTTTTTCGATCCCAATGGTTCATTATTGAAAATAATAAACCAAAAATAAAAACCTCTAACTAAGAACCCATGAACTCTCTCCCCCCCCCCTTAGGTTCAGTACAATGTGAGGAAGTACTGTTTCCAGTGCTGGGAGGTGATCTGGTTGAGATCACACTCAACCGCCGAGTTTACCATAAAAATAATTTCTTAATTAAGAGCATACACTTTCTAGAGGCTAGGAGTACCCCAGAAGGATCTCCCGGCCACAGTGTCGATCCACGGCCGATAAAAAAATTAATTGTCATCAACCGAATTCGAATTTGAGACCTTGAGCTTTGGAAGTCAGTGCTCACTCACTGAGCTACCCCGCTCCCTAATTCTTGAGAATATAACTACATAATGAAAAAGTGAACTATTATTTACACCACAGAAATCGATCAGGAGTAACCATATTTTGTTAAATATGCCCAGTGTATGTATATGGAGTGTCCCGTAAGTAGAGAAAAATATTAAAAATGTTGATAGTTGACATCAAGATCTAAAAAAAAGTTCATATAAATAATTGCCCGATATCCAGCAGAAAATTAGACAATTTTTTTTTTTGGTTTTTTAAGCGAGTCACGATTTTTGTTGAATAGAAAGCAATAACATAACAAATATTTGTAACTAAACATTGCTTCATTGTAAACTAGAAAAAATTTACTTTAAACTAAAGTAGAGATTATCATTGTTAAAACTTTTTAAATATAACTTTTGCGCGGCTAAACACAGCTAAGTTCCGTTTAAAAAAAGTTATAAATTATTTGCGAGTTTTTTTTTATCTTCCTTTAACT